GCGTGTGACATAACTTTTCAAAGAACGAACAGCCACGGGTTGCTACACTTTTGATATTGATCAACAGAGCAGGAGTATACTAGTCGTACAGATCCAACGTCTCATCGCATCGATTGCACCGGACGAAACGGTACCACACACCGAACCCTTTTTTTACACAAAACCGCAACACATTACGGCACAGATGTCGTTCCAAGCCCTGGCACAACCGGCACCGACGGTCGGAACGGCAGACGCCGAGCCCGCCTGCGAATCCACCGCGGTGAGGGTGGCACCCGCCAAGTTTGTGGAGGAACCAAGAATCGAGGCCGCTCCGGAGGTTTCGAGGGCCGTTGCGAGGGACCACGAACGACAGGCACCACGGGGCGACTCCGGACAGAAAGAGAAAACGCTCACGCCATCGGTGGAGTCCAGCGCGGTATCACGATCTTTGTCTTCCGCGGCTTCTTCGTCGGGCCTATCCCTGGCMGATCTTCGGAAGAAGGGCACCGGGTTCGAGAGCGAGGCCGCCGTTATCAAGGGCGGCGTCCGAAAGGACCTGCTGAAGAAAGTCCTCCCCTTTTTCTTCGACGAGCGGGACTTTGTGAGTTACGGCGAGGTCCGCCGGTACGTCTTTCTGGGGAAGGAGGGCAGCTGCTTGTTTGTCTACGGGGACGCAACGGAACCGCGGCCGCTCTATGCCATCGAGCTGTCTAGCCTGCGGGCCGAGATCGAGGACCGGGATCGACCGGACAAGTTTAGCTATTCCATCAGCCCGCAGGCCGGGACCAACAAACCGGGGACTCATTTTGTGACCGTTCTCTTCAAGAAGAAAACCACTGGTAAGCAGGYCTACCAGATGACCTTTGACACCCGGAACGACAAGACGGTGATCAAGCGCTTCATGGACGTGCTCCGGACCAGCGCGGAGCGATGCGGTGGCGACGTGGTCAGTGCCACGGTGGTGGACGCGAAGATGGCGAAGGCGTTCCCAAAATGAACCAAATCCAACGAAGCGGCCAGGGAACGACACGATCAAAATAGTAGCAAGCAATAAGACTCGGTGTGGTGCGCCAGTATTTCCTAAAGAAAGCAGGCATGCGGCAACCATACGTTCGGATGTGGATGCCTTTTTGTGAACACCCCTGGCTGGCTGGTGGTAGGGGAGAAGCAGACTCGATCGTTCCGCGCGGACAAAGCCAAACGAAATTGYCGACAAGAACGGTAGCGGTGCCTCGTGGCCCTGCATTGCGAAAGACAATAATGTTCTAGTAGTTGTTATACTCATCGTTAAAATCATGGTTGTGTTTGCGTGTTATTGTGCTGCGATGTGTTGTGCCGTTATATYCGTTCGAGCACATCGTACCGGTGCGAGAATCTCCCACCGCTGTTTTCCGGGTCGCAGCGGCTCCGGCGAACAATCTGCGCCGACAASCCACAGCGCTCCACGACGTCCACCGGTAGGGCGTACACGGGATCGATCCTCCGGTACGATTCGGGCAGCTTCCCCAGGAGGGAGAGCCCGGCGATGCCGAAAAACGTATGGAAGATGTCGGGCATGTCCTCCGGGCGGTCCGCTATGCCCCCGTCGTCTTCGTCCTGCGCSCGGGCGATGAATCCCGCCAGCTTCTCCGCCGAGATCCAGTCGAGCCGGTCCAGGATGCTCAGGACGCTGAGGATCCACCAGGAGTAGCACACGTCGGCCTGTTTCTCGGGCCGGCCGTTCAGCCCGCCCGAGTCGCACTGGCGCTCCGAGAGCCACCACGCCAGGAGGTCCGGGTGGCGGATCACGCCCAGAGATCCGGCGATGCTCAGTGCCCCTACGCAGCAAAAGACCTGCCCCGCGTGCGATTCCGCCCCCCTCATGGACCCAAAGCCCCCGTCCGGGTTCTGGCAGGAGGCGATGTAGTCGACGGCCTTCGCGACGTCGACGCTGTGGATGCCGACGGTGGAGCAGTGGCTACCCAAAATGGAGAGCGCACTCAGGGCACAGTATCCAAAGCGGGTGTCGATCTCTCCCCACTCGTCRCCGGCAAAGCTCCCGTCGGCTTGCTGCAGCGAGACCACGAATGCGGCAATGTCCCGGACGGCGAGCTTGTTCAGATCGTACTTCGCCACTACCAGGATCTGCAGGGCGGACAGGGTGTAGAGGAGGTGGCCGTCGTGTCCGACGTTGCCACCGAACCCGCCCGATCTGGGATCGTAGCACCGCAGCACCCACTCGACCAAGCGGGGGAGCGGCAATTCTGTTTCTGGCGGTTGCGGCTGGTGGTCGCTGGCCCTGCTGCTTTCGTTTCCGATGATCGCGTCCGCCTCGGACGGGGACACCAGCAGGGAGAGCGCCGTGTAGGTCCAATAAATACCGCTCATCCGCAAATGCTCCGTAACCGCACCCATATAGCTGGAGGGGGAATCCAGCTTGTTGCCCAAATGGCCTATGTACCGCAGGTGGGAGGCACGATAAAACGGGACGGTAGAACACGACCCGATCTCCAGGTGGACGATTCCTGTTCCGTCGCCGTGGGTTTGGTTTTCATCGCTTTCCCCGGCTGCCACCGTCTCCCCTCCAGACCCATTTGTCCCATCGATGGGGTGCGTGTCGTTGTCATCGGAAACCATGCTGCTAGAAGAAGAATTGTATTGTATCTTGTACCGTACGTTTTTTTTAAACATGGGTTGTTGATACCAGTTTTTCGTGCAGCTCACGATACGCTACGCAATGTCACCGGTCACCAGTCCCTAAATCGGTACCAGTACGAGTACCATACTACCCGTACTTGCGTCCTTTTACCATCACGAGTCCAGTACGGTACGTACGTACCGTACAGTCGTTCGTACCGGGAGGCCTTTTCAGTTTTCAGTTTTCAGGGCCCTTCGGAACCCTCGCGATCGATCCCCGTTTTCAGTTCTTTTTGGGGGCGCGAGTTGGTCGAGAACGGGACAAAACGTCCGTCCTTGTATGCGTGTATCGGTTCCGAGAGAAAAAAGACACCCACCACCGACGCCAGCCCCCCCCCCGGCTACGGACCAAGACAAGGCAGGAAGGGAGACGCCGAAACGAGACGCGAAAACATGCAAACCGACGCGGCACGACATCACAAATGATCCGATATGGAATGATACAACAATACCGTACAATACCAGCGTACAGGACCACGACAAGCCATCACATTTCTCTTTCACCAAACACCGACGACTTTAAGACAGCGAGCAAAACCAGTACATCCAATACGGTTTCGAATCGATTGATTCGCACCACCGAAACACACATCCGTGATTTCTCCATCCAAACCCAACAAACGCATCCCAACCCAGCCCAACCCAGCCTAATCCGGCACGCCACAATACAACACTGAGAACAAAAGAAAACACAACATGGCAGACCACGACGAGACTATGGACACCACCGACGGCGACGACYCTGGTGCCATCGCTGCCCCCACGGTCCGCGGGGGGCTCAACCCCGACGCCGCCCGGCTCTTCCGCGTCTACCGGACCATCTCGAACATGCTGAGCAGCCGGGGCTACATGGTGCCGAAGGAGATGCGCGAGATGACCCCGGCCTCCTTCCGGGCGCGCTTCTCGGAGCACCCGAKCCGGGACGCCCTGACGATCCTGGTGGAAAAGGCGGACGACGAGAACCAACAGCTCTTTGTCTTTTTCGCCGAGGAGGAAAAGGTGGGGGTCAAGCCCATCAAGGTCTTCACCGACCGCATGCGCGCGGAGGGGGTCTCGAACGCGATCATGGTCCTCCGGGTGGACATCACGCCCTTTGCCAAGACGGCGCTGAGCGAGATGAGCGGCGACTTCCGGATCGAGCACTTCAAGGAGGCGGAGCTGCTGGTCGACATCACGCAGCACCAGCTGGTTCCCGTGCACCAGGTSCTCACCCCGACCGAAAAGTCCGAGCTCCTCAAGCGGTACCGGCTGAAGGAAACACAGCTCCCCAGGATCCAGCCGAACGACCCCGTGGCGAGGTACTACGGGATGAAGCGGGGACAGGTCGTCAAGATCATCCGGCCGTCCGAGACCGCCGGGCGGTACGTGACGTACCGCGTTTGTTTGGGGGGATAGAAGCAACAAAGCAGCACTTKTCGCGGCGTGCACCACCATCGAACCGGAACGCAWCGCAWCGCATCGCATCGCATCGCATTGATTGGTTCGTACTAGCATTTGTGGTTGTGGCCGTAATATAGCAATGGCCAGCGCGCAGAGGAAAAAACGAATGGTCACTTGGATTCCATTCTCGCGATTTTAAGTACAAGTAAATAATTAGTGATATCAATAATGAATTATTTGAATATAACTTCACACCTTCCATACGACGAAGCTYGCCCATGGTCCAGAATCATTGAAAGTACGAGTGCAATTACGATCACGATTGCGATCATACTATGTACTTCATTTATTGTATTGCATTGTATTCCAAGACAATGAACAAATGTTTATCGATCAATCCAAGCAAAAATCTTGCTGTTTCTATTATTTCAATGGATCCGTTTGCGCCACAGCACAGCTCGATGCCGAGTTGCTACCTCGAAAAGTATTGACCGACGAGGGCTCGCGCCAGCTTTAGAAACGCTTCTCTCTCATCTTTTTGCCAAACAGTCGTTTTGTTTCGGTAAAACCAGGAAAACTGACACTAATATCCGTTTCCTCCAAACCCCAGAACATCGTGGCCAGTCGTTCGTGGATCGAGCGCTGACCGAACCAAGACAGTGCACCGTAAGCATTACTCGTCGTACAGAACCGATCCGTACCGTACCCTATCCATCAACGAAGSAACTAACCACGGCCTCGGCTTCTCTTTCCCACCTTTTCCTTTTTTCGTCTTCGGCCCACATGGGAGCAGGGGCGGCTGCCCTTGTTCGATTTCTTCGGTCTCCGACCGTTTCGCATCTCGACGATTGTCTCCACCGCTTCCTCCAGGTCGGCCAGGTTGTTGGTGGCGCGTTCGCATCCCGGCAAGCCGGGATCTAGCACGGCACGAGCGGGTCGGAACCAGCCCTGCGGGGTTTGGAGCCCGGGCCCCGGCCGGAGCGCGGGGATCGGCGGGACACCGGTGCTCGCACACGCGTTCGCTGTCCCGCCGCGGGTGGTTTGTCTTTGCGTTTGGGCGAGAGACGAGAGGCACCGCAGACCCTTCGTCCCGTGCCGTTTCAGAAACGAGGCACCYGCTGTTGCCGCCGGTGRAAAAATCATTGCTGTGTCGTGTCGTGGCCCGTCGATTGATATACTGTTCTGTGCCCTCTGGTGCAAGTGGAGGTTGAGGTGGTGTCTTCGGATRCCTAGTACTTTTCGCCTTCACGCAGTCGTACTCTCTGAACGATGATGTTTCTTGTTTCAACGGTGATCAGTGATTGTTGGATTCGGTAGGTACGAGTACTCGTACCGGTACGATTAAAGTACCGTACCGTACGCACCGATACGTTTGAGGTACGGCAGAAGTGAGCTTATTCACTATCTACTCGTGATTTAGGCTCACAAAGACGACTTCCGAAGAAGTACGGTAGTTTGGGGAGGTTTTCCGAATTTCATTGTGACTGGGTCCCTCATGAATCCCGTGTTCCCCAACATCAACTACTTGTACGAAGCAATTCATGTTCCTGGGAAAGYAGATTAAATAGATAAGATACCACCTAAGGTACCAGAGGTCCATTCACATCACTGCAGTATGCATATCTTCTTTCATCACAACAAGAGGTATTTGGAAACATGCGATTCTGAACAACCGCGTCGGCAGCCTCGTCGATTCCGATGATCTTGCGTTGGATAATATAGGTGCATCTTGTTGTCATCTGGTAAATTTGCAGCCCCTGCCTCGATCTTTGAGACTTACTGGGGCTATTGATCAGGGAACAGTTTGATTTAAAAACTCGCATTCCTTTCATTGATTTGGAATGAGGAAAAGGAGAACCGACCTTTCTGTGACGCATTGACCAAAGGTGAAAAAAAAAAAGGTTGTAGACCAGGAGCGGCCCTTCCAACCGTATCTGCAAGGCAAACACAGTTTATGAGTGGCATCGCTGGCACATTTTTTCATTGCGCAACTCAATGTGTGATAGTCTCTATTGCCGTTTGCAGAYGTAGGATGTGCGTACTCGATAGAGATGGAGTTTCGTGTTCCATTGTTTTAACCTGGGCCTGCGGTATAGTGTTCCAGATCGCTTTCATGACATCTTTACAGAAAATAACACATTCGTACTACTTCTAAGTTATTTTTCTGGCCATACATGGAGAGTCTAATCGTTTACTTGCACCGCTGACACAGCACATGTCAAAAAATGGCAAGCAGCAACTCGGGCAATAGAAGTMATTTTCRCATGCGTCAAACGTCTAGTGAACACACRATRCWGAAAAYGACACAGCAGGCATGTTGAAATAAACTAACAATCGAGAGAAATCTTTCGTCTTTACTTCTAATGGTATCAATTATCTTTCTTCAACACAAGAGTTTGAACACGGCGCTAACAGCGCGCTAACGKAGGCAAACGCAAACGCTTCTTTGCGAGCAYCAATASAAAATTAATATTTAGTCTGGTCTTTGATTATTTGATTGTTTAGAGACCTTGTTTTCGCTTGGCCTGCGACGAAATGTGCAAAACGTTGTTTCCCCGAATGAAGCAGTCGCCGTACGTCGCCTTGAGCTGTCCGTCCAGTCCGTACTCCTGCGTTTGTTCCATCGCAATGTTTAGGTAGCCATCGAGACACGCCAAAACCCCTCTGTATTCAATCCCCGAATTGAGCTTCACTATCGCTGGCCGCCCCAGAACGCTCTTAAGAAAATCCGATGGGGATCGYTTCTTCCCTCCCGTTTGGTCCTGCAACCACCGTGAATCCGAGCCGATCCGGAAGCCAAAACATTGTGCGGCCAATGAAAGGATCAAAAGCGGAACGCGTGAGTCGTCAACGGCTTTTCTGATGCGCGCGGCATGACGCTGTTGCCTCGCCCATTGTCCCCCGTTATGTTTCCATTAGGATTGTTTGCAAAACCTCTGACTKTTTTCATCACCAACTACCAGTCTTCAACACTGCACGAATACTTCAYCTGGTCCAGCGCACGCCAACACCGCAGCAATACTTACATCCGTGCCAGCCTCTGGAGCAGCGGGCGGTGCATCTTTCTTTGGCTCGGTCATCGTATCGTGCTAAGTACACCACAGTTTAGATGCTAGAAAAACTAWTAGTCACCCCACGTATCACCCTGAATCGGAACAGAACACAGAGAAGAGACGGAAGCCGTAATAATGCGTTGCTGGTGTTGATTTTTTTAATCAACTACCGTRCCGTACGGTACTTYGTAACAGGTTTCCTACCCAAATACTGTACGAAGCTCTGTAATTCGCACGCATCCATCGAAACTTGCGAAAAAACTGGTCGGTGTTAACGGGAAAAGTACGAGTACCAGGTAATCGCATTCATAAATGCTGTGAACAAAAATTCGATTAGTATCGTATCTTTTGGTAGTATGAAACTGTACATACGTACGGTAGTACCTTATGGTATTTGGTATTTGTACTCGAAGCACCATTTCCTACCAGATACCAAGAGGTTTGCCCATCGGCAATAGCTGTAAGCCTTTTTGGAATAGTGGAACTGGTGGTAGTACAAATACTCAAGCGGTTTCGCGAAATTGAAGGAGCAGAAAAGGGACGATGTGACGGGGGGCAAAAGAACTTAAGAATGATGACGTTAATAGATCCTACTACTAGCTGTAGCAGCTGTCATAGAACCCAAGACACCACTAGTTGTACTATATCCCTCTACAACACGAAGCAGCCCCCGAGGTCCCCTGCGACACCAAAGTATGCCCGAAAGCATTGAAGCACGTTGTCGCTACTAGTGTTTGGATCCCGTGACAACGCCGCCTGGAGCCACCTGCATTCGTCCGATGACACGTGGAATCCATCGTTCCCGTTCATGCTTTTGTATAACGAGAACGGCTGGGCCTTTACACAGCTCGTCTTGTGCACCTTCTTCCAGTGCGCGGACTGGCAAGCCCTCGAGCAGTACCTCACAAGTTTGCAGCGGCCGCACCGGTTCATTTGGGGCGTTCGGTTTGTGCAGTTTGCACAGTGACCAAAGCGTGGGTATGGGGTGCTCTCATCATCCCGGTTCATAAGGGCAAATAGAGCTGGATGCAATGGAGAGGATGCTGCTCGGACCAATACCTCGGGCTTCCACTTTGTTCCACTGAAAGCCTGTTTTGCATATCGAGTGGAACATTTGTTTGATCGATAGATCAATAGTATAGTATGTTGCATAGAGGGCGAACAGGAAGTGTCATCGTTAGAAATCTTGATGGGAAATGTAAAGCGATCGAAGCAAATCGAAGCATATCCAGATTCGAATTGCTACTTTGTTCGTATCTGACCTGGTAATTGTCGTCGTTCGGTCTCAGTGGACGCGGTTGCGGTGGTACGTCGTCCAAAAACGACAACNACCCAAATACTGTACGAAGCTCTGTAATTCGCACGCATCCATCGAAACTTGCGAAAAAACTGGTCGGTGTTAACGGGAAAAGTACGAGTACCAGGGCCCTCCGGAACCAACTCGCGCGCGTCCCCCCTTTGAAATCTAATATCGGGGGTATGATTTTTTCCCAAACAATAACCCACGTTTCTAAAACGTGGGTTTTTTTTCCCAAACAATAACCCACGTTTTAAAACGTGGGTTGGGTTAACCCACAAATAACCCACGAACTACCCACGAAATAACCCACGAAAAACCCACAAACCTGCTGGGCCTTTCTCCAAATATTAAAAACAGTGATTAAATAACGTTAATGACTAAAATACTCAACACCCTTGGTTCTCCATCAACCCAGATGACTGTAAATTCGTGGGTTATTCGTGGGTTCTTTCGTGGGTTATTTGTGGGTTCCTGGGTTCTTTCGTGGGTTATTTTTCAAATTAAAAAACCCACGTTTTAGAAACGTGGGTTATTTTCCACCAAAAATAACCCACGTTTTAGAAACGTGGGTTATTTTTCACCAAAAATAACCCACGTTTTTCTAGGGGAGGAATTCGAAAAGGGGGATGTGCGCGTGGGTACCGGAGGGCCCAGGTAATCGCATTCATAAATGCTGTGAACAAAAATTCAATTAGTATCTTAAAGGAGTGTTGGGAGCGACGGACAGACAACAGACAGCGAAACCAAGCAACCGAGGCAGCGTACGCCCCAACAAAGAAAAGCACAGAGCCTTGCAGCTCATTCTTCAGCAAGCGGCGCAGCAAGATGGTATCGTGTCAGGTTGAGACTAATGAAACCAGTGAATTCACAAATCTGCACTCTCATCACCACGACACCAACACAACACTGCACCACTACGCTCCGAAGAATCTGGCGAACACGCAACGGATCGCCAACAATAAACCATCCGTACAGCAAGGCGAAATGTCGCAAAACGTGCCCCCCACACCGTGACAAACCATCCTATCTCAACCGACACCACCACACCAAACCGCCCCACGGTCACCAAAAATCGCCAAACCTACAAACCCAAACGCCACACCACTCGCCAAATCCAATACCCCAGCACCGACAGAAATCCGCAACCCACGTCTCTGACATCACCACAAAAAAACATCAACCCCTGACACCCCCTGTCACACCCACACCGACACCCCAAACCCCTCACCCACAGTCAACTCCAACACCACATGACCCCACGGCCCCCTGACCCCGACACCCCAACGAAAAATCGGCCATCAAAAACCACCAAACAGACCCAACCCCCACCTACCCCGCCAAACTCTGTCCACCCCACAAGACACAACCCTCGACCCAACACCCGACCACCATCAAACCCCCACGCCGTACCTACCCACCACCCACCAACAAACATAACAATCAACCAAACACGCATCCGCACCATCACCTCACAATCCAGAAATTGTCTTCCCTCCTAGTACTACAAAAACGCCGGCAACATGACCACCACCGCATCCCACCTCCTCAACAAGGAAACCCATACCGCCATCATGGACCTCCTTACCAACCACCCCAACCCAGGCCCCCACCTAACCGAACGCTGGACCCCCGGCACCCTCCTCCAAGCCATCATCCACGACTCCGGAGTCACCCCGTTCCTAGCCCTCGGACACAGCGAAAACGTCGTCCACGCCATCGCCATTCACCCAACCACCCCAGCCATCTACACCTTCTCCAACGACGCCCTTCATAAGAAGGACCACAAATGCCCCTCCACCACAGGCCTCGACCATGCCCTCAACCAAAACCCCGTCCCCTACCTCAAACCCCACAGCAACGCCATCGCCAAACAACTCCCCCTCCTGTCCCAAATTGCGCCCACCCTCCTCCCCTTCTACGTCAAAAACGACACCCCAACACACCCCATCGCCCTCCGCTCCCAACTCATCACCCAGGAAAAAATCACCCGAAACTCTCCCACGGCCAAGTGGCTCCTCGCAGCCAGCACCAAACAACCCAACAACCCCGCACGAAGTGCCCTCCACCTCGCCCCCACCAACCCCAGCCTCCCSTTCTCCGCCCAACTCTCTTCCCAAATCATCGCCGACCTCGAAGACATTTGGCCGACCCAAGCACAGACGCTCCTCACACTCCTA